CGATTTTTTCATGCTTCTACGGAAGTTTTTCATGTAGTTTGCGGCCATTTTTCTACTGGTCAAGTGAGAGCCCAGTAAGCTGGCTGCCACGAATAGGCAGGAAGATTCTATTGGCCAGCGTTAGAGCCAACAGCTGACTGATACGAATGTTTATTAGCATGGTAGCATGCAAAAAAAAAATCGATAGCTGCATTCGTCACAAGTGGGAAAAAATTTAAATCTGCATGGCACTTTACTCCAATTAATGCCATTCAGGTTGTTTAAACTAAACGTTGATTCTGATTCCGCAGAATTGGGTTGGGTGAAAAGTATTTGTTGTTAACATCTTTTTCATTCCGTTTTTCCAGTTACGAGTCCTTTTTTAAAGCTGATCGTTTTGCGTTCATTTTGTCTACTTCTTTTTCGTAACAGATATAATGTTTAGTATAGAACTTAAAAATTCGCAGTGTGGAGATAGGCGAGAAGTATGGCGTGTAGCAACATCAGCATGGCAAAACACTCTTTTTCAAAAAAAGGAAGGGCAAAAATTTTTAAGTCAAGTGGATAGCGATTACTGCATGGTAGTACGATTTTTAATCAATCACGGGCAACGTCCCATGCTGCTAGTTTAATATATATTTTTCAATAACATGCGTTTAAAAAAAAAACTAAGTAAAAATATTTAAATTTAAAAATATTCCAAAACTTTTACATTTCAAAATTTCACTATCCAAACAAGCAAAACTTTCCATCTTCTAGGCTTATTTTGAGGAGATTACAGGTGAAATGAGGCGCTCATGATTTTCTTGATCCCTGACAGGTATGGCCAAGTATGCCTTTTATGCCACACACATTTTAGCAGATGTTGCTACAGAGTAATTTTTCGCTCTTGTTTTGATAAATTCACCATAAATATAGCAAAATTCGTCGATGCTTGTACTCTTTTGATGCTGCCTGTGACAAATGCACCTATCAACGACAGCTTGTCTGCAGTAAACTGAACTGTAGAGGTTATTTTCTCTGTATTTATACTGCCATATATATTTCCAGAACGTTCTAGAAATTCTTGAAACTTTTAGATACTTCTCAAAAACTTCTAGAAAGTTCAAGAAAATTATCCCTCAGCAACTCGACGCCGAATCTGCCTGGAATATAAGAGAAAATACGTTAGTTTCAAAACATCGAAGTCCAGTTTATAAAAGCGAAGTTTTAAAAGAATAATAATCATTTCCTTTATTTTTAGACAGAAGCAATTAAAAAAAAGCTTACTGACCAAAGACGAAAAAAAAGTAAAAAAATAAATGGATGCCGACTCGAACTGCTAGGATTCTTGAAAACCCTGTAAATATTTAGTTTAACAATCACTCGATTAAATAGGAGTAGAGGGTTTATCCCTTGTTTCCTGTTTCTAGTTCAACTCTATACTTCTAACGTCTCCAACAGAACTCTAAAATTTAATTCTTTAATTATTTATTTTTCTGTTTTTATTCTCTCCCAATATGAGTATATAGGTTCTCCTCCTTGATCTTTTGTACAGGAGTAGAGGTTTATCCTCTTGTTTCCAGTTTAGGATTGGGTTTCCGGTTCCTTCCAAAGTCTATTTCAACTCTAGACTTCTAACGTCTCCAACAGAGCTCTGAAATTTAATTAATTATTTATTTTTCTATTTTTCTCCTCTCCCAATAGGAAAAGATAGGTTCTCTTCCCTGGTTTTTTGAACAGGAGTAGAGGTTTATCCCTTGTTTCCTGTTTAGGATTGGGTTTCCGGTTCTTTCCAAAGTCTATTTCAACTCTATACTTCTAACGTCTCCAACTGAGCTCTGAAATTTAATTCTTTAATTATTTATTTTTCTGTTTTTCTTCTCGCCAAATAGGAGTAGATAGGTTCTCCTCCTTGATCTTTTGAACAGGAGTAGAGGTTTGTCCCTTGTTTCCTGTTTAGGATTGGGTTTCCGGTTCCTTCCATAGTCTATTTCAACTTTATACTTCTAACGTCTCCAATAGAGCTCTGAAATTTAATTCATTAATTATTTATTTTTCTGTTTTTCTTCTCTCCCAATAAGAGTAAATCAGTTCTCCTTTCTGGTCTTTTGAACAGGAGTAGAGGTTTATCCCTTATTTCTTGATTAGGAATGGGTTTCCGGTTCTATCTTAAGTCTACTCATTGTCTTTCGCTTCCCAGTCACCCCTTGCGTCTCAGTGGCATTATCGACTTCCTTTGGGTAAGGTGATTTAAAAAGTAGTTTTTTTTTTCTTTTCTTTTGTTTGGCATACTAAGCCATATTGATGTAAGTGGTGGAGCTGTTTGTGATTTAGTCAAATGTAAGTACAGTCACTTCTAATTTGCTTATTTTAAAAAAAAACTTTCTTTTTTTTTCTGAACTTTTGGAATGAGGAGTTATCATTATTTATACAATTTATATTAAGACTTTTGTCTTCATGTTTGTTGTTTTCATCGCAACGTTTCTGCTGTTGTGTCCAGGCCTTCCTCAGGTGTATGTCGATCTGGGTAACCTACAAGGAGTTTCGAACTGAACCCTTTATTTAATCTATGAGTGTAGACTGTTCTCGTTCCACTGCTCATATCAAGGAATTATTTCGTCTGTAGGTTATCCAGATCGACATACATCTTCGGAAGGCCGGAGGGTACAACGGCCGAAACGTTGTGATAGTGAATACGCAAAGTTTATATATATATATATAAAAATTATATATATATATAATAATTATATATATATATATATATATATATATATATATATATATTTATTATTTATTTAAAATTATAACATAAATAGGCTATAAAATCACTACAAAAATAGCCATTTTGTTTCAACACCTCCGGTGTCTTATCAAGTGATGATGTTGACTGTTAAATAAATGGTTTTAAAAGTTTCAAATTAATAAACGATCCTTCGTAAGGGGAAAACGCTTTTACAAAAGCTGGAATGACCAATCAAAACACAACTATAGGAAAATTCAAAAAGCTTAACAATGAAGTAAGGTTATAATAGCTATTAAGAGCCTTAAAGTTGGGGTTATACTAAAATAGAATTTATTCTAACCAATAAGTATTAAATTATATGATAAAATTTGATATTAAAATTAAAAGTAAAAAATTACCAATTTTAAAATCTAAATTTAATCTCTATTAAGTTTAAAACTATAAAATTACTGAGGAGAAAAGAAAAAATATACATGTTATTCAATTTATATTTCTTCATTGAAATTACGTTAGAATAGACGCTCATATCAGTTGGTCTTCCCGACAAAATGTATACATTTTAATCCCGTGTGTGTGAGTGGGATCCTAATCTCTCGCGTAAAACAATACAAACACACTCAGAATATAATACATAAGCACCCAGACATATTTAGATATATACACACACAAAAAAGTGACGAGACAGGAAACATCTCCCCCCGCCAAAAAAAACAAAAACAAAAACGAACACATACATTTACTTACTTACATACATATACGTACTTAGTATTGGGGAGGAGGAGTGACCAGACCTTGACCTATTTAGACTCCTCATCCCCAAATAATAAGTATACTTGAGAGAGATATGAAATTAATCCCTCCCTAAACTCTACCATGTCTCTTTAACTACTCCTTTTACACTCTCTGTTAAATTACAAAAACTTACACTACCCATCAATTTTAATTTCATTTTTCGTTTCATTTTTGGAAGTGCTATCTGTGGATCCGGCGTCCTTTAAAAGGGCTCTGGTGAAATAAATTATAATGGTACCTTAAAAGTGGTCTGTTTTTCTTTATATATATATATATATATATATATATATATATATATATATATATATGCCAAATTACATATTTTTAAAACCGTTCATGATACTTCACTCGTTTTGCAGTTCGCTCCGATCAAGGGAGGTTGATATTAATATTATGCTCAAGACCCCCGGCGGGCATCCTCACAGAAGGCACTTCTCCTTCGTGAGGGAGCTGGGTTTATCGCTGGTTGTCTGAGAGATCCCCAAAAGAGAAAGGGGTGGTCTTGAGCAATTTTTTACACGATATTGTCATTAAACATTCTTCAAACTTTTCTTGTGGCACATTCGGTCGCGACGTGAGCGCACAGTAAAAATACACTCTTCATGGTGCCGATATATCGCCAGTACCCACATTTGCTTTCGTTTGTGTTCCCCGAGCTAGAACCATAATAGATGGCAACTGAAATAATTCTTGCAAAAGGAGTCTCTTCTTTAGCCAAGCTTAACGCTTCCTCGAAAATATTGGGCTCGTGTGTCGGCACATTCCAACTGATTCATCCGCCTATCTGGATCAAGTAGCTGAAATATAAAGAAGACTGATAAATTTATAGATTAATCATTTAAGGAAGATGGAAAGAAAGAGCAAAGAAAATATCGTGAAAATATTTCAAAGAACGACTTAAAATAAACCACAAACAATGAAGAAGAATAAAAAGAAAAAGAAGGTTAAATAAATGGATATGAAAAAATATAACCTTCTACGTCACACCTAACTCGTTGTTGTCGCCAATATGGCGGAAAAGCCGTCGTGTATCCATTACAGTCTCTTCTAATAGAGAAATCTGAAAAGAAAGACGAAAATACGTGTATATAAAAATAAAGAAAATAACGGAAAAAAAAATTTGATAAAAGAAAATAATAATCATACTACAAAAAGATGGCGGGTTGAATCAAGAATGATTAATGATAAACGTAAGGATTTGTTACGGCTTAGGCCGTTACTTAATAAGCCACGGGACAGAAAAGCGTCGAGTTACGAAGTTTAGTCGGCAGCCATTATGGCCGATAGAGGTTACAGGTTAACATGGCGACTGGGATGCCTTCACCGGAAGCATGGTGGCGACCCTTGGATTGCATTTCATTGAAAAGTGGCCATATGGGAAAAAAGGAGTGTGAGAAGGGTTGTTGTAGAGTGAGGGTGGGGTCGTGCTCGTGGGAAATAAAGACGAGCATGGGGAAAATAAGTAAACGAGTAAATCTTTCATAATAAATACACACGCTTTAAAATGATCTCATTCAAATCATCACTCGCTTTCTCCCTCTTTCTTCTCTCACTGTCTCTCTTCTTCTCAGATCCTTCCCTCACTGTCTCCCTTAATCAACGTCAGCATCATCACCCTCGTCGTCGTGATCATCATCATCCTCATCATCAGCAGCAGCAAGTTCATGATCGTCGTTATCATCATCAGCAGTGATAGAAGCAGCGGCAGCCATCGATAGTCCATTTCATCCTTTCCCAAATTCTTCTATGACGTCCATGACTTTAATCTCCTCTGCTCATGTGTTAACCCATTCTAACCCTCTTCTACCATTTATTGACCTACTACGTTTTCTATCGATTGGACACCAATCAATCAACTTGTGAGTGTGAACTGAAAAGTTCATAGGCTGACTATGAATGGGCGATGCTAGAACTGTGATATCATTCATGTATTCGTTGCAACTCTTATTAATAACTATTATTTCTTTCCAGGAACGAGAATAGGTTGAAAAGTTCATAGGCTGAATATGTAGGAGTAATGCTTGAGCTGTGAAATATTGCATGTATTCATTTCAACTCTTCTTATTAATAACTGTATTGTTCTTTTCCAGGAACAAGGATAGGCTGAAAAGTTTATAGGCTGACTATAAAGGAGTGATGCCAGAGCTGCGAAATCTTGCATGCATTCATGTTAACTCTTCCTGTTAAAACTGGATATTTCATATTTTGTTGTTGCTCCTGTTGAAAAACCTCAATGTTTATTAGTTTGTTTTATTTACTATATTTCATTCTGCTTCTCGATCTGACCAGACTAACATTGTGTTTATAATTCGTGATTAACGTTTCTGTTTTGTAATAATTTAGGTTAAAATTCTTCGACATTATCTGTGTAAAGTCTTTGTCTCCTATACAAAATATGTTGGCCAGTTATGTTCAAATGCTTGACCCGTAAAAGAGAAAATTTTCTAAAGTTCAATCTTTTATTCTTGATTTCCAAATGGTATAATTTTTGATAGTGCTTTCCATGCCGTTGCAATTCTAGCATGTACATGTTTGTGCGAATTAAATCCAACTCCTTATCAAATATCCAGAATAGTGGAGCCGCTCTCGTCAAATTCAGAGTAGAGACGTTCAATACCTTCAGTAAATGTAAACCTCTGTGCAAATTAATTGAAATAAAACGAATAATTCCGTTATTATTTACTTTTTTTTCGTATTTTTCCAATGAAATATGCCCCAGCGCACATGTTAGTATTTCGTATGTCCATTCAACGAAGTCGTTCCTTGCAGATTGATCACAGATTCCCGATTGGAATAAATGTGAGTTTTTGTGTCAGTTTATAATACATTGATTTGTACACTGGTAAGGCTTGACATTCTATTCGTGCAGCGTTACAATTTTCGCACGTTTCCTTGAACTAACCTCCATTGCAGACAATAGCTGCAGGACAACTAATCGACAGTCGAGAAAATAGCGTTTGGGCATGATAAAAATTTGATGCAATCACAGATGAGGGAATATTTTTCCAAGGCCAAACAAATTTCATCATACACCCCGAAAATAGATTCATCTTGCTGCACACTACTGCAAATGACCTAATCTGAGGACAAAATAAAAATCGATTACACCCTGTCACTCCCGTGGGTCTAAAACTGACTGTATGGTGAAAGAGAGGAAACTAAAGCGGTTGTTTCAATTAATTTGCACAAGGGTGTATCTTTGTGGAGTCCATCTATGGTCTTAAATCATCAATTTGATTTAGTTTGTCACCTTTGCATTTTATTTTCCTTCTACTGATTAAAATACATTACTTCTGTTTTAATTACATTTATATCTGCCCGATGATATACGAGGCCTGGTAAAAAAAACCTCCGGGACTGTTGCTACGGTCACGAAGCTGAAATACGTAGAGCGAGGCCGCTTGTCCCAAACACATCTTGAACTCTGTCGCCCATATACACTACGTTATAACATTCAAGCTCACTTCTGTTGTTTATAGCAGTGCTTGGAAGGAAAGTGTGTAGAGTGTGTTCAATTAACTATACCACAGATGTTCCTTCAGTCACCATGGGTTGTGCAGCACTTTTTGGCCAATGACTACATTCCCCAGGTCTGACAACCACCATATTCCCCGGACATTCCTTCTTGAAACTTTTTCCTCTTCAAAACACAAATTCCCCCTTTAAAGGAACAAGATTTCAATGCAATACAAAAGAATGTGCCGAGACAGCTGCTCGATTTCCACATCTAAAAAAAAGTAAGAATTCCAGGAATGCTTCTATCAATGGAAATTATTCTGGATAAAGTGATTGGCTTCAGAAATAGACTACTTCGAAGGAGATATAATGCCGAATTGATATGTGTTGGAGTTTTCTTTTTATGGTATCAGTTCCCATACTTTTTGTATGGCTGTATGTTGTTTATAGCAATGCTCGGAGGGAAAGTGTGTAGAGTGCGTTCATCTCACCATACCACATATATTCCTTCAGTCACTATAGCTTGTGCAGCATTTTTTAGCCAATAACTACATTCCCTAGATCCGACCACCACTATATTCATCAGATCACCTATCTTGAAACTTTTTCCTTTTCAAAACTCAAATTCTCCCTTAAAAGGAACAAGATTTCAAGGCAGCTCAAGAGAATGCGCCGAGGCAGCTGCTGGGTTACCCTATCTCAAAAAAAGAGAGTTCCAGGAATGTTTCTATCAACGGAAACAATTCTGAATAAAGTGTGTGGCTTCAGAAGGAGACTACTTCGGTGGAGATTAAATGCCGAATTGATATGTGTTGTAGTTTTCTTTTTTATTGTATCAACCCTGATATTTAACGTATATAAGCGAATAGAAATACTTGTATATTGTATTTAACGACACCATTACTTTCTTCTTTCATCCTTTTCTCAAGAATGGCTTTTCATGCATGCGACAGAGATCAGTCACCATTTATCCACACCCATGATCCCGTTACTTCGTTATCCACATCAGTACGATTTCATGAGAAAGAAAGGAAAAGAGTGCTCAACATCGATGTAATATTAGCCTTCCTATATGACAGTGAACGCTGGACATATTACCTTCAGGCATAAAAGATATGGTTCTACAGTAGGATGCTTAGAATAGCATGAACAGAACACGTGAGCAACGAGGAAGTGTTAACAGAAATGGTAGAAACTAAAAGATGCTTTTCAGAAACGAAAAAATTTTAAAAAAAAGAAAAAGAAAAATTCGTTAGAAACAAAGAGTGCTGAACTACAATGGAATATATATGCAGTATTAGTCCACCTATATGGTAGATAAAGTTGGGTAATTTCACCTTGAATGGAGAGGAGGCTTCTGAGCAATAAAAATGTGATTTTACAGAAAGATGCTGAGAATTTTCTTTATATGTGCTCTGTATATTATCTGCAAATTCATGACGTAGTTTTATCGCAAAGAACTGCTATATATGTAAGCTACTATCTATGAACATCTATATTAGCAAATAAAATTAAATATCCACTTATCTGGCCCTACGGTGATGTTTACGTAGAGTACATCTAATCGTCAAGGAGCATGATATTAACATTGAATTTATTTATAAAAATCATAGTTTTTTTTTCTTAAAAGATGTTTTTTTAATTTTCCTGAACACACTTTTCTTGTCAATAACTATTCTTATCTAAGAAACGATTATAAATGGCGAATGTCATAATTAATGCTATTCCCAGGTCCACCAAGGGTGGTAGCACCTGTTAGGATCCCAACTATGGGTAAATATTAAACCCCAAAAGAAAATATTATGAAAGATAAAAATACATTTTTATAGTAAAAATATCAGCAATACATTTTATAGTAAAAATTACCAACAGTACATTTTATAGTAAAATGACTAACAATACATTTTTTCTGTAGTTGAAGCCATAAAACTGTTTTGAAAATATTTCGATTTCGGCATTAAATAACCCTGACAGGTTGATATGCAGCTAACCAAAATCAACCAACCAATAATCGGGAAAGAAAAAAAGTAGTTAAAATGAATTACAGAAACAAAAAATAAGTTTATGAATTCAATTTTCTTTTTTTCTAAAGTCGCAATGGCATTTGACTCATGTAGAATATGTCGGAGTAGTTCTCTGTAAATTCAACACCGAGACTTAGATCGGCTAAAGATATTTGCCAAAATTATAACTAAACCAGACCTGTATTTCAGTATCTTGTTTCTATTTGCGTGTAAGGCCAACAACTCTAATGCGATAGAAAACTGGACTACATTGAAGGAGAAAGCGGACCACGTCAGGACAGATCTCAGGTTTACTCTCCTGATTGAAAGACTATACTTATATAACTTGATCTAGACTTGTGTCGTTCCCACTAAAAAATGTACTAACCAAATCCGTCATGTCTATCTCTCGTGGTCGAGGATGATGTTTTTTGTTCTGTTTGCCCCAGTCAGTTGGATTTGTAGACTCTGAGATGGCTGACATTGATTTTTGCTTGAAAAGTCCTTCGAGATTGACGGCGGATTATACCGGATTGTGGATTAAGACTTCTTTTGAGTTCGAAAATTGTTGCTCCGTCTCTAACAATGGATTGCCAGAGATTCCAGTCCATTGTACTAGATTCACAGCTGTTAATGTCGATGTTGCATTTCTTCATCATTTTTTTTTTAGAACGTGACACTCTGGACTTACGGATATATGTTTTTAACCAAGTGTATAAATAGCGGTGTCAGGCTTTGAGCGACTATTGAGTGGAACTATCCAGTTGAATTAGTGTGAATTATTGTACGTGTTCAGTATTTATTTGCGGTTGTAATTAAATACTGTTTTATTTTAACATTGAAGTCTTAAGTTAGACGTAATTATTAACGGCCACCTCATGTCACAAAAATTTAACACAGAGAAAGTGTAATTAAAATATTAACAAATGTTCTATTGACAATATTCTTGTGATAAATATAGCGATATACGAGTCACTTGCTGTGATATAAGACGAAAATGAGTAACTACTGATACTGAGCTTTGAACGTGACACTCTGAAATTATGAATATATGTTTTCCACCAGGTGTATAAATAGCGGTGTCAGGCTACTGACTGAAGTGATTATTTGAGCGACTACGGAGTGGAACTATCCAGTCGAATTAGTGTGAATTATTGCGCGTCGATGATTTGGGTTTTGATTTAAGATTTACCGGACGTTAAGCCGAGCCGTGCGACTAACAAGATATTCACTGAAATGGTTTATTATCTTTGATTGACTTTTACTTCTTTGTTCTTGTTAAGTATTTATTTTTGGTTGTAATTAAATACTGTTTTCTCTTAACATTGGAGTCTTGGGTCATACTTAATTATTAACGACCACCGCACGTCACAAAACCTCTTTGAGTTAGGAGCAAAAGATTTGTTTTTTCATTCCATCAAGGTTGATATTTTTATAATGATGGTGGCCATTTTAATTTGTTTCAGGACGCTGACGTTATACATCGAAGATACATCGAAGAAAATGCTGTCTAAATTTTTTAAGGAATTTCAGATGTTGTCGATAAATTGTTCAGGTCTCAGAGGCAAACAGGTGACTCATGAATATATGCTTTCCGCCAGGTGCATAAATAGCCATGTCAGCCTACTCACTGGAGTGATTATTGAGTGGAACGATCCAGTCTAATAGTAGCCTCGCTACAAACAAGGTATTCACTGAAATGGTTCATTATTTTTGGTTTCAGAGGCAAACAGGTGAGTTGGAATCACTACTTTCTTCAGTATCTGTCTATATTTCTGAGATGAGGTATTATGTACACTATTTACATTATTCGGACTATTGTCCTCATCTTTCTCGCTATATTTATTACAGCGTTTCGGCCTTTCAGTATCTGTCTATATTTCTGAGATGAGGTATTATGTACACTATTTACATTATTCGGACTATTGTCCTCATCTTTGTCACCATATTTATTACAACGTTTCGGCCTTTCAGTATCTGTCTATATTTCTGAGATGAGGTATTATGTAAACTATTTACATTATTCGGACTATTATCCTCATCTTTGTCACCATATTTATTACAACGTTTCAGCCTTTCAGTATCTGTCTATATTTCTGATATGAGGTATTATGTACACTATTTACATTATTCGGACTATTATCCTCATCTTTGTTGCCATATTTATTACAACGTTTCGGCCCTTCAGTATCTGTCTATATTTCTGAGATGAGGTATTATGTACACTATTTACATTATTCGGACTATTGTTCTCATCTTTGTTGCCATATTTATCACAACGTTCGGCCGTTGTACGCTCCGGCATTCTTCAGGTGGTTGGAATGTCAAACTGAACCCTTTATTTCGCTCGCTGGTTTAGACTATATTAGTTCCACGTGCCATGTCTAATTGATGTCAGTTATCAATTATCTCCATTAATTCCTCAAGGATACATGGCACAGTTGATAAGAGCGTTAGTTAGATCCAGTGACAGGACCCAAAGACTGTGAGTTCAATACCCGGTTAAGGCAGTGGAGAACTTGGAGAGAGGAATTAACATTAGGCTCTATGGAATAAGATTTCCGAATGGAACTCCCTTCTTAACATGGAATACGGGGGTAACGAGGATGATTCATCACAGTTTGGGTGACATGACAGCTCTTTAGGTCTGAACTGGTGGAACTAAGGAGTGTAGCTCATGAGGACATTTTCCTTGGAAATACTGATAGAATTGCGAAAGACTTGTGACGCTTTTGTTTATGGGAAAGAAGATGTAGAGTGGAATATAATTCATAATCTACATTTATCTATCAAACCCGGAAAGTGAAGCTTGGATAGCGCTTATCTACATAGGGCAACATTAATTCATTTTTGGTTTGATGCGACTCTTGTAATGATGGAATATTGCTGAAGGATTTTCTGGAGCTGTACAAGGAAGCAATGATTTTACAAACATCTTTAGCGGTGGATCGAATATCTGAATTCAATTTGAGATCAAGGGTGAAATTGGCATTGTTTTCTTTTGTTTTTTACCGGCATATCAACACCTGAATGGGTTATTTAATGACAACAAGATTTTTATTGCTGGTAATTTTTTCCTTCAAAATGTATCGCTGGCAATATTTTTTTCCTTCAAAAATGTATTGCTGGTAATATTTTTTTTATTCAAAAATGCATTGCTGGCAATGATTTTTTCCTTCAAAAATCTATTGCTGGGAATAATTTTTTCCTTCAAAAATATATTGCTGGTAATATTTTATGCTTCAAAAATGTATTGCTGGTAATATTTTTTTCCAAAAATATATTACTAGTAATATTTCTTCTGAAAAAAGTGTATTGCTGGTAATATTTTCTTTTCAAAAATGTATTGCTGGTAATAGATTTTTCTTCAAAAATTCATTGCTGGTAATAATTTTTTCAAAAATGTATTGCTGGTATTAAAACCTATTTTTACACTTTCATTGCGTTTTGACCCCAGTTTGTGGGATAACTATTTGCCCATAGCTGTGATCCTAACAGGTGCTACCACTCCGGAACACCAGCAATTAAGAGGTGGTTCATGCTCCCCAAAACCTTCTGTTCATAGAACTTGCTCTCGGATGTAGTCTATCGTCTTGCCCAGGACGCCTCATTTTGGGGGATCTTACACCTCTGTAGAAGCTCAGTCGGCGTATTCTGAAGCCGAAGCCGACAGAGCGACCCAATAGGCATTAAAAGCAATGATCCTCTTTGAGAGCACAACCGTTCTTCTTTCGTGGGAATTTGAAGATTGATATAATCTTCCAGTATTTCACTACTGTCTTATATTTATTACTTCTGTATTTTTCGTCTGAGTCTATCAGCATTTCTATTACAATCTATTCTTCTCCTACCGTGAAAAATTACATACCAATTATTGAATGAGGAACTGAGGCAGAAGGGTTAAAATTGTTCAGGAATTCAGGGCTCAAAGGGTTAAAGATTAGAAGAACAGATACTACACTTTGATTCCAGCGAGGTAATGTAGGAAAGAGTAAGTCGAGTAACACTGGCAGTTCGGCCAACGAATGTCGAATATTTTTCATAATTGGCTCATTTTGGCATTACCATATACATCTACGTTTTTATCAGATTTCCATTAGACATTTTTATTTTGGTAAATATATTAGATTTAATAAATTTTCATCAGCCTTTTCTCTTTCGCCACTTTTCTTTCTTTCTTTCTTTTTTTTTTACTTTCTAAATGCTCTCCGCCATCTTGTCTCGATTTATTATTCATATTAAAATTAGGTGCGGTTTTTTTCTTTGTTTTTTTTTTTTTCACTCTCTTTCGTCTTTCTTCTCAGCTCTTACTATTTTTGTATAATTTCCATCTAAAACTTTTTCTCCCCGTCCCTACTTTCCTTCCTTCCTTTCTTATCCATCTCTCTTCTTAATGTTTACTTCTCATTCTTTTCTTTCTTTTCTAATGTTACTCTATGTTACGCTTTGGACCTTTTTTTTTTTCCTTAATTCTAGGTCAATATTCTTTACTGCTTTTCAAAGTCTCTCTCTCTCTCTCTCTCTCTCTCTCTCTCTCTCTCCCTAGTATTTTATCTCTTTCTTTTCTTCTTCGGTTCTGCCTTAATTTTAATTTACATTCTTTCATCTTTCTCTTTTATTCTTTCTGTCTCTTAACCTTTTTCCTTAACTCGGTCTTCATATTCTTTGTGTCTTATCTGATTGGCTTATCGGCACTCTTTCTCTTTCCTTTTTTTTCACATTCTATTTTTCTTTCTCTTCCTTTCTTCTATCGATCAATTTCTTTCTTTTTTTCTTCTCTCGTTCGATTTCATTCTTTTCCTTTTTCCCCCCATTCTGTTTCTATCTTTCTTTTCTCTTCCTTTCTTCTCCCGTTCTATTTCTTTCTTTCTCTTCCTTTCTTCTCTCAATTTCTTTCTTTCTCTTCCTTTCTTCTCTCAATTTCTTTCTTTCTTTTTCTTCTTTTCTTCTCTCGTTCTATTTCTTTCCTTCTTTTCTAATTTTTTAAACCAATTCACCCCAAGCAAGACAATAATACCACTACGACTCACGTTGGCTACTGGGAGTGAAAGTGTATGAAAAAAACTTTAGAAGTAACCGAGAAACCCAATCCTAAACAGGGAACAAGGGATAAACCTCTACTCCTGTTCAAAAGACCGGGAAGAAGTGTGAATTAATTTTATTTTACATATCTTTCTTTCCTCTTCTGTGTCTCTTTCATTGTTTCTTTTTTTTCTTCTTTATTTATTTCTCTTCGTCTTTTTTCTCAACTTCCTCTTAATATGCTTTACCACCTATCGAATTGCCTTCTCTGCGTTTTTTCTCTTTCTTTATTCTCTTCTTTTATTTCTTTCTTAATTTTATTTCACATTTCTTTTGTTCTTCTTCTGTGTCTCTTTCTTTCTTCCTTTCTTCCTTTCTTTCTTTCTTTCTTTCTTTTTCTTGGGCTTTTTGCTCAAGTATGTCTTGATAGGCTTTATCGCCTATACAATTGTATCCTTTGGCCTTCTTTCTTTTCCTTTTTTTTCTCTTGTTCTGTTTCTTACTTTTCATTCCTTTCTTCTCTCTTTCTATTTCTTTCCTTCTTTCTTTTCCTCTCTCGTTCTGTTTCTTTCTTTTCTCTTCCTTTCCTCTCTCGTTCTCTTTCTTTCTTTCTTTCAGGCTTTTTTCTCAAGTATGTCTTAATAGTCTTTATCGCCTATACAATTGCCTCCTTTATTTTTCTCTCTCTTTCTTTTTTCTTCCGTTCTATTTCATTCTTAATTTTGCTTTACACTACTTTCTTTCCTCTTCCATTGCTCCTTATTTTTCTCTTTATCTTTCTTTTTCTTTTCAACTCTATTCTTTCTCTTTCTTTCCTGTCTTTCTTTTCCAATTTTTTTTCTCCTTTACGGTATGACATTTCTGATTCCCCGCCATGCAGCCAAATAGTCGCCATTACCTTGTAAATGATTCAGTGGAAGTGTAATTGAAACAATATTTCCGAGCCAACAAAATGGAAGGCCACTTCTTCTCTTCATTACCACGCTGTCATTTCTCAGCAGTTTAACACCCCTTTTTTAGCCCCTTAGTATGTCTCCCCCTATCCCAAAGACACTTTCCCTCAGCATAACCCCACCACCGCTCTTTATTACCCTCAAGAGTTGTGATACTATCAGTTGGGCTGCTCACAAATTTGGCTTTTTGCACTTCCTCTGTCTTTCCTTGCCATTTCGTAATTTCGAACTTTTGTTTGTTGGTTAAAATGAAACAACAGCTCGTATAAGCGGATTTTTAATTATTTTTCTTTGCCGATTGTAGAGATTAAATTTTCAAGATTTATTTTTTATAGTCTAACACAAGCACGTTTTCTTTTTCTTTTTTTCATGTGGTTTGGTTTGGTTTGGTTTGTTTTACGGCATATCAACATGAATGGGTTGTTTAATGCGACTAAATTTTTATTACTGGCAATTTTTTTCTTATTCAAAAATGTATTGCTGTTAATATTATTTTTTCTTCAAAAATCCATTTCTGGTAATATATTTTTCTTGAAAAAATCTATTTCTGGTAAAGTTTTTTTCTTCAAATATCTATTCCTGGTAATAATTTTTTTCTCAAAAAGTGTATCGCTAATAAATTTTTTTCAAAAATGTATAGCTAGTAATATTTTTTTACAAAAATTTATTGCTGGTTTTAATTATTTATAAAGTATTTCTGATATTAAATCCTATTTTTACACTTTCATAGTGTTTTGACACTAGTTTGGAGATTATCTACTTGCCCATAGCTGGGACCCTAACAGGTGCTATCACCCCGGGCCAGGGTGGACCTGGGAACACCAGCAATTAAGATGTGGTTCCACATTCATCAAAGCCTCCTGATCAGAGGCCTTGCTTGTTGGACGTAGTTTATCATCTTACCCAGGACGCAGATGTAGTTTATCGTCATATCTAGGACGGTTTTTATGTGACGAACTCCTTCAGGGCGTTGGTGATCATGGCTCTCTACGACTTTCTGTTCTTTGTATTTCTAACAATGTTTGTCTCCTTCCTCTTCCTCGCAGACCCTGTTCTTTCATCCGCTTGCAAATATCCGTGGTGTAGATTACGCGATATTTATGTAGCCGAGACTTATCTCGTGACCCAAAAGGGCCGGAGTCGCATATATGTCTTGCAATGGAGCGTGGAGACGGTGAATTGGCAAGCCTCTTGACTGAATATCAATCGGGCAGCATTTCGTGTGGACGGAAGTGGTGATGTCATTGTAGCCATTTTTATTGGCTGGTTCTGGTTGCTCATTGGCTAAGCGATGGCTGGGTCAGGTCCATAAAAGCACGGTACGCTCATTCAAGTGGAGACTCATTTCTGACGAGAAGTTGCGTTCGTGAGACTGAGGAAGGGAGTTAATTGTGGAACTGATTTGCCTTGGACTTGTTTATTCCTTTATGTAGTGGAGACTTGCCTCGGCCATCCAAAAGGGCCAGATTCGCGTGTATGTTTTGCAATGGAGTGTGGAGACGGCGAACTGGCAAATGATAATCGGGCTGCATTTCGTGTTGGCGAAAGTGGTGATGTCGCTTGTAACCATTTTTATTTGTTGGTTCTGGGTCCTCATTGACTGTGCGATGGCTGGGTCAGGTGTATAAAAGCACGGCACATTCAAAAAGAGTTTTGTTTCTGAGAAGCAGGAAGAATTGGGTTCTTAAGATTGGGGAACCGAGACAATTGTGGAATAGATTTGCCTATTAGACCTACTGGATGTGTATGTAGTTTTATTTTGTGTGTCATTTTGACCAATTCTTACACAAAAAGTAATGTTACTGATAATATTTTTTACTAATTAATCCATAGGTGCGGGGAAAGATGGGGATTTATACATTTGCCAAGCGTATTTGCGATTAAGTGAATATAATAAACCCGAATGGACTGAAGTGGTAACTGAAATTTTTGATTTACAATTCCGAGGCGTATTTCCAAAAGCTGTCTCGCATCGAGATACTGAACGGCTCGGTCATTCTTAGCTTTGGTGATAATCTGAGAATCGGTGTTTCAACGCAATATGGTCGTAATCCCGTCAAAGTTAACAATTTGCTTAATATATATTGGACGAGAGACAAAAATGGACTTTTTTTCACTTTTAAACAAAGAGGGAAATATTAGATAGTAGTCAGCGAAAACTACTTCGTGTGAACAGCCGTGATGGTGTCGCTTGTAGCCATTTTTATTGGCTGGTCCTGGTGTATATTGGCTGAGCGGTGGCTGGGTTACGCTTATTCAAAAGGGAGTCTTGTTTCTGAGGAGGAGGAGGAGTTGCGTACTTAAGATTGAAGAACGGAGACAATTGTGGAATCGATTTGCGTATTGGACCTATTGGACTTCTATGTAGTTTTGTGTGTGTGTGTGCGTGTGTGTGTGTGTGTGTTTTTGTGTGATTCCGACCAATTCTGACACAATTTATCACCCCCGCTTGCCATCAATACGGCCTGTGAGTTTCAAATTCCCTTAACCTTCTTTCCTCTTTATATGCCCTCCTCTTTCTGGTTCTAACCAAAAGTGTTTTTTTTTTTTGTTGTTGTTTCTATTTTTCTTAAAAAAAACCTTCGTAGCTAATATGTTCTCTCTATGGTATTCTCAGCATCCTTCTGTAGAACAATATCTCTGTTGCATGAAGTCATATTCACCCAAAACCACTTAGCTACTTCGTTGAAATATATCCCGGAAAGGGATATATCACACCTGAATGTTAGTCGCTTTTTTGCCTTGCTTGGGGTGAAATGATTAAAAATATAAGAGAATTTATATTACATAATAGTTCGTCATTTTTTTCTGTGTTTCTATCAAATTTTCCTGTTTCTTAATACTTTGCTTAAATGTTAGAAGGCATCTTTCCTTATTCAAACGCGTCCTCGGATTTCGGTTTCACAAGACATGACTGAGACCGTGGAAATTATTAATAACCAAAATAAACAAAATAAACACATGAACACTTGGAAATTTATCGACAATTTTGGCATATTTGGGCTGGATATTCCCAGTCCTCGTTTTCCAGCTTTAACAGAATTCAAAAGGCTCTACACGGCCCTGTAGGTGATGGATAATTTACCATTCTACACCCACTCAACCATAGGCGAAATCTCGCAAGCCTCCTGCTAATCTATCGCCATTTCCATGGAAAATGTTCTGATAAGCTCCATTTCTTAATTCCACCAGTTCATACCTAAAGAGCTAAGACCTGCCATGCCCCATACACTGGAGTGAATCATCCCTGTTCTCCCCGTATTCCATTGTTAAGAAGGAAGTTCATGACTTCACTGCAAAAATCCACCATGCTACGTACACTGGAACGAGTAATCCCAATTACATTCGCATTCCATTAGTAAAAAGGAAGTGGTGGAACAAACACCCGAGGGGGTGTTCTCCCGATTACTACAATCTTAACCTCTTCATATCTATAGTTCAACCATTATGTTCTGCTATATGTCTTCACTTCTTATTTTCTCCTCTTATTTTCATACAACAACCCATGTAGTAATCTTTTATTTTGAGAGGCTCTTGAGTCTGGAAGTAAAATACACGTGAAACTGCGGGCTTAAATTTATTTATATATCCTTTGGAAGTACAAGGTAAAAACGTATAAAAGTATAAAAAAAAAGTATCTCGTTTGTTTATTTATTTATTTATTTTTAATTCTGTGTGTGTGTGTGTGGGGGGGTCTAACGCGCTTGTGTGCGTATGAGCTAAGGCCCCTTATTTTGAAGCGATGAAATGATTCTGGAACAGAAGGAAGACTTGTGGAATGACAGTGTGTCTGTGTCCATATTTGTCTCTTGCCGCGAATGTTCTGTTTAAATAAATGGTGTTCAACTTTCTTTCTCTTGTCAGTTTTAATTTAGACTTCCATGGATCAGAAGCCACGGTGAGAAGACAGTCTCTAGTATTGTCTTTTCATCCGTTGCTTTTACCTTTTACGAATCAGAATTGAAAGATATATCTGAGTCATGTGAATAATTGTGCATATCATTTTCATAAAGAAAAAAAATTAAAAGGCGGACAGGTAAACATAGCCGTATGAGTGGCGTTCATCCAAATTAAACTACAAAAGCCAGATAAGTAGGGTGCTAATCAGCGGAACAGGTAAATAGAATCAAATAAAAACAGAAACCTTATTGAAAGGCGTGAGAAAACAGGCTTTTGTAGACCGCGTTGGGGCGATAACAGAATCAAGTAAAATGGCTGATTCCTACCAAAACTCTGACATTTAAAAAGGCAATCGCCATTTTTGCCGCCAATACACGACCAGAGACATTCGAGGTATAGTGTTACAGAGTAGTAGGTAAGAAGTACAGTTTATGAGGATATTTCGCGAAGATTTTATATATATATATATATATATATGTGTGTGTGTATGTGTGTGAGGGGTATATATATGTGTGTGTATATATATATATATATATATATATATATGTGTGTGTATATATATGTGTGTGTGTATATATGTGTGTGTATATATATGTGTGTGTGTGTGTGTGTGTGTGTGTGTGTGGGCGCATATTTTATGTGTATATCTATCTATCTATCTATCTATCTATATATATATATATATATATATATATATATATATATGTAATGTATTTGTATATATATATATATATATATATATATATATATATATATATAAAAGAGGTTATAGTTGTTCCAACGAGTGATAAGAGTATATATTAAAGAGAAGAGAGGAACTACAAATGTTTTTGGTGATAATATGCATCTTTTAAATATATATTATACTTTATTTTACATAATTTGTCTACATTTTATTATTTCTGTGCAGGTGTGACCCATACAAAGATGAGAGGTGTGCGAAAAATCTAAAAATGGGAAAAACAGAGGCCCGAGCAGTCATAAAGTATCAGCAAAAGAAAGGTATAACACCCAAGGAAATCCCTGGGGACATGGTACAGACATCATACTGA